ATGAATATTTGTCACAGCAGATTATGAGAAGTATTAACGAATACCTGTTCCCGCTTTTTCAGTTCAGCTTCCTTAGCCTGCAGCTCTCTCTCTTTCTTCTTTAAATCCTAAATTCAAATATTTTTATCATCAACATCTACTGAAAGCCATTTGTAATTGAAAGTAAAAAAAAAAAAAAGAAAGAGAAGAAATAACGAAAGAAGACAAAACTCAAGATCTCAGGTAAAATTCAAAATAATTGCACTTACTGAAGAACTGTTCAGTGGAATATCAACTGCGGTGGGATTGTAGAAATCAGCAGGCTCGGGAGGAAGGGGTGATAACCTCGAGTTTGCTGCAGGTGGAACACTTCCAGCAGACTGTATAAATAAAAAGCATCAATGTGTCAAAGAGTTTCACCATAACTACAAGCTCGTGTGAGAATGAATTTTTTAAATCACAATGTTAAAACCAGAATCCTAAATCTAGTGGGGAATCTCCTTGTGTTACCGAGCAAAAACGATTGACGTGTGGTACATTGCTCCAAAAAAAAATCCACAGATAAAATTATAAATGCTTACTAATTCCAAATCTTAAAGTATATCCCCAGAATCTCTCACAATAACCCAGTTCATTGAAAGTTTAAGTATGCTGGCTTTGATCCTTATAAGTGAGACAATGAGAGATTCATAATCCATGGTTTTAGTTTCTGATTTTGATTCTACCACACCCCACTTTTAGTTTGGATAAAAAGAATAATAAAGAAATCTACTTGTCAGGTTTACAATGAATCCTTGTATGCAGTAACCGTGAACTCTATGGAAATAGAAGAAATTATGATTATGGACCGATAAATTCCTACAAAATTTGGAAAATTTCGAATAAATCCTTCTAGTTGCAACATACATAAGAGTTTCCTTCTCAAATGAGAAGAGGAAAATTAAAATTAAACTCACTGTTGTAAAGAATGAGCCTCCACTAAACTTTTGTTGTCCAGACGGCTTTCCTTTAGCTCCTCCATCCTGAACACAAGAAATTATCAACATGCCATATGAACAGACCATTATTAAGGCCTACTAAGTAGTAATTTCTTCAAGGAATCATTAATATTTTCATTTCTTTTTTCTTCATGCAAAGTAAGTATCATTTAGATACTGATTCTACAGACATATCACTAGGTCTCTTCCTTCTTCATGTAATCAATTTTCACATTATTTTCAATCATGAATCGCATAATACTCGAAACTCAAAATAGCTTTCATTGAATTAACACCGATGCTTATCAACAGTAGCATCATCTAACATCACAAACCTCAAGAACAAAATAAAAGGAAATAACTCAAATTCCTCAACCATTCGTTTGAATTAATAACAATGAAACAATAATGAACTTCAGAATATAAACAAAATGATTTTCAAATTCCTCAACCATTCGTTTGAATTAATAACAATGAAACAATAATGAACTTCAGAATATAAACAAAATGATGAAAATCACTCCCATTTCCAACTCCAGACCACAACAAAAAAAAAAAAAAACCCAAACAGAATTCACACTATGAACCAAAACAAACTCCATAAGTCGAGTCATCCGATGGTTCCATAGCAACACTGATGTTTTCCCCTCAACTTTTAAGAGCAAGAGTTCAGCATCGAGCAATTCAAGCCAAGAACACGTCTTTCCTCCACTAATATGACCGTAAGAAGGGGAAAAAAGGAAGAAAAAAAAAAGGGGAACTCACGGCAAATGGGTTTTCATCAACTTCCTCGAAAGGGTTGGAATCATAACGGTTAGCCATCGTCAGATCTAATTCTCAACTGTGATGAGCAGAAGAGAGAATGCAGAAAAAAGCGCGAAGTGCCCTCGAATGCTTGGGGGTCGAAGAATATTTTTGGCAGAGTATTTGATTCATTCAAAGCGGTTGAGAGAAAGAGAATCTGGAGAGAGAAAGCTTCGGGTGGAATGAGAAAAAAGTTGCAGTCTTCAAAAGCCCATGGGCAAAATTATTTTTAAAATTACTAATAAAAATAACAATAATTGTTTAAAATTAATTATGTGTATTTATTAAGCTAATTTGAGGTTTTTAAAGAAATTAATGACTTGACTGAGAGCTTCTAAAATAAATCAATATTATATTAGTCAATCAATACAATTACTCAATGTTCCAAAACGACTTAAGGGTCATATTAGTCAAATTATTCTAGAATTACCAAGTTAGTTTTTCAATATGTTTCGAATGTTCGAACATAAAATTATTGATTTAGAATAATATTATCATTTATCCAAATTAAACCATGTTTTTTCGCCAAATAGGATTTCGAAACATGCGATTAATGCCACTTAGTCTTAGCACATTCTACGAAATAATATTTTAACATATATATCTATTTTTTAATATAAAAAAAATAATTTTACATATTTTGATCCATCATAATACTTAAATATTATTTTATTCAAAAATTTATTATTGTATATTGTCAATATTATTTGTAACATTTATAGAAGTAATATTTCTTTTTTATAGAATGATCAATATTTAATGTATATTAATATTATTTATTGATGTGATTAATTTAAAAATATATAATTAAGTCTAATGTTTGTTAAGAATGTGATAGATCTCGATATTTTAGGTACAAATATCTGATATATATATATATATGTAAAAATATATGATATGAATATTTTGATACACAAAAAAAAAAAAAAAA